ACACCTCTTCACTGGGCTGCTAAGTGGGGTAATGCTGAATGATTATGTGTAGAAAGAATGTGATTCAATCTATTCCATTAATGGATTATTTTCCAGGTTATGAGGAGATCGTTCAACTTTTCACCGCGAAAGGTGCCGATGTTGATTCAAAAGACAACAATGGAAGAACCGAAGAATACCTTATTATCTGACTATTTATTTAAGTAAATTGAGTCATTAAGTTTAGTTTTGCAAGAGGTTATGAATGAACGTAAAAGTTGAAGAATTATAACAGTGCCGAATTCAATTTTATATGAAATTTTTTAGAGAAAATTATTTATTTGGTTCATATAATAATAGATTTAATTGTCGAAGGAGCATTCCTGAAGTTTCAGATGAAAATTTTCGTGAACAATTATTTTTTCAACTTTTTATAATGAAAGTGACAAGAATGTCACCAAACACAGTCAAAAGGTTAAGAAACAATGCAAAAATCAAGGGAATAATTTTTAATTGGAAAAAATGCTTTGCAAGCAAATAATCATTGAATTTCAAATGACAGTTTCGAAACATTCAAGAGCAATGCGTGTATTAGGATAGTTAGTTACCTTATGCTCACTGAAAACCGAATCAGCACGATTGACGTACACTTATGGTGATCTGTCAAATTACCAAAAGACATTGAACAAATCGCAAAATCCGTTCTAAGTGAGTACCTTGTAGACTCAAGCCCAAATCATACAAAGGCCAATTCTAAAATATGACGGATGTTCTTGAATTCACCGCAGCTGATTTTTTCAAAAACGCACACACAAAAAAACGAAAAATTTCTCAACCAAAGATTTCGAAAAAAAAACATAAAAATTTTGTTTACTGTCTGCTTTCGCTGATATTACATTTTATTATAGATTTTTTTCTTTACACAAAAAATGAATTTCTCCTTTTTGAATGAATATATTTATCAATAATGGATTTCAGAATGTCATTCGCACGAAGACATTTTTTATTATCTCTTGGCCGAAGATAAACTTTTTTATGATTTACACCCAAGCACCGGTTCGGACATAAAAATATGCAAGATAAATATGCAAAGCATAGACGCGTGCGGGCGACCGCATCATACGTGTGTGTATGAATTCAGTACACAGCAAACAACGATGTAGATTATAAGAAAAAACTAATAAAGAGATTAATAAGAAATAAAAAAAAGTTGACACGTTCGTCGCACGGTCGTCCTTACACGTCTATGCTTTGCATATTTATACAGTATAAAACATCTAGGTAAACATATTTCTATGCCCAAACCGGTGCTTGTTTACATCAAGTTAAGTACCATCGATTTCACTCGAATTTTTTCATTTGCTTTATCGCTAGAGAATTACGTGTTATTTTTCTGTTGCGAATACATACACGGTTGTTGCTTATTACAAGAATATACACATTAATTTTCCTGGATACACATTTATAGCAACAAAGGAAGGATTTTTTCCTGCATTTCGATTAGTCACATTTCTTCTTGGAATTTGGTCGACTCAATCGTGAAGCCGTCAAAGTACGATACAAAGAAACTATACTCGACTAACTTTGAAGAAAAATGACTTTGATGACTTAGAAAAGCTTCTTGGGAAATAGGTTCTATTCATTTCTATTTGCCTTTTTGCTTTGATGTGGTTGGCTCACCTTTTCATCTCTTTATTCGTTTTTTTTTTTTTCAAATAAAAAAAATTCCTTATAATTCAACTGCGTTTGATAAGAAATCAATTCGATAAGAAAATTCTCTTCTGTAGCAATAAAACTCATGCAGCGAGAGTGTATACAATCTTTTATTCAACTAAATTATGACAATGCAAACAAACGAATGAGCGAACGAACGAACAAATGACAAATGTTATTGCGTTGATATTCGAATATGGCACGTGCAACGTTTGATTCTAAGCAAAAAAACTTACTAGAAATAACACTCAGACGATATGACGTTCCGACAAAATGATGAAGGTAAGCGAGTTTTTTTATAAGTTTGCATATCGTCCTGGGTAATTTGTAGTCGTTCAGTTAATTTTTGCTGCAGAAACTCCACTGGAACAACAAAGACATCAATAGAAACCGATTAAAAGGAAGAGTTCGACTTAGGAACAAGTTTACAGTGACTTAGAAGAAGTGTATGTCAACTGACGTGAAGTACAGTAGAGAAAAAATGACAAAAAATTGGTAAAAACTGATACTTTTTTCGAGTTGACAACTATTTGATTCGATAGATATGGTGAAAATTGGAATTGTTTTAGCACTGGTTGATCATTTAAAGGGTGCTTTCTAATTTCAAAATGAGACACCATCTCACGTGATTTCGAGAGTTGCGAAACGTTTGTGTCATGAGTTAACCAACAACGTGTAAAACTGCACACTTTTTGTTGAAAAATGACGAAATTTTCCGTACAGAGCGCGCTTTCTTATAGACATTCCTATGGAAAGCTATTGGCGCCCTCTTGACGGATTTTTCTGATAACTAATAGTAAGCAAGGTATCAAATGAAAGCTGGTTGAATTCCCTACATTTGTTTCAGAAAAAGCATGCAAAAATATCCAATGGTTTCGTAGTTGAAACGTTTGCAATATCTGGTTACTTTAGGAACTAATGCGTGATAAAGGGTTAAGTAAACGTTCCTGTGCATTTAAAACATGCTGCGAAATTAGATGATGTCTCATTTGGAGCCCAATATTCATTTTCATAGTCGAAACCGTTGCTTCTTCCATCGCTTGTCGAAGATTCTAATATAGAAGAATGAAAGAACACTGTGACTGAGTAGACTGATGAAACGATTTTAATACGTAAAGTCTTCAACTTTCAGTGATGAGTCACGTCCTACTTAAATTTCAAAATTATCCCGTTTTCTTTTCGACGATCATTTTTATCGTTTGAATGTATTAAAAATAGGATAGAATGTATGCTCTCCCATTCCCACCTTTATGGCAAACAATTAAAGATCACAAATGAGCTCGTCCATTCCTGGAAATTTTTCTAGCCGTACAAATTCATATATCTCTGCGTATTTTCAACGTGTATTCATCCTTTTTGGATTCCCTAGTCCCTGATCATATCCAAAATCTAGACGTATCCATAATCCGGTTGATATTGATTGATGCTAGGATTGTTGCATCAATAGGTCAAGTGACAATTTCAAAAGATTGACAGTAATAACACATCGATCGAATATTTTAATCATCTGAACACCGAAAATAGTTGCGATTGTTACGAAAAATGTACATTTATGTATTAATAAGATAATTAATAATATGTGTATACAATAAAATATTCGGAGAAATAATCCGAGATACACGTTAACACCGATTTTCATCGACTTCAGCAGTTTTACTTCGATTTTCATTGACTTCATTGGTTTTACATCGGTTTTTCATTAGTTTCGTCCGATTATTTTTTACATCGACTTTTCTATAGACTAGCAACTCTTTCACGTTACATAATAATTTATCAGATTACAATCAAGTTTTTTTCTTTTCCTTTGTTATAATAAAAGATTATTTTATTGAATTTTCACCATCCAAATTGAAGCCCACTTAAAATATGGTTATTGTGGCACCGATGCTGGCCAACTAAGGCTTCCTATTTCATCGAATCGTGTGAGCCTTAAGCTTAAACCTTTACATGAACTGTGTATGTGTACACTTCCGTTCTTTGACCGATGAATCCATCGTTGTAGTTGTTGTTGTTTGACGATGATCACGATAATAAGATGATGCGGACGGCGACGGCAATTGAGCGAATCCAGTGCGTTCAAAAAATATGGAAAAAATCCGTAAAAAACAATCGATTTGTGTTTGTTTGTGTGTGTTTTTATTTTATTTTTCACTTGTTAAATCGATAATTCGAATTCGGCTTAATGCAATATAACTTTGTTCATTGTTCCTTGAAAAAATGATATAATAGAAAATTAAGAATGTATGTTGTGTATGTGTGGATGTGTGACGACGGCGACGACGACGACAATAAAAATAATAAGAAATTATATCTTCGACGTGTTGTTTTGGTATGGTGTGCAAAATAAGGATTAAGTTTTTTTTCATGGGATCGTCGATCCATTTGAGTTTGATGTTAAACTAAAGAAAAATGAAATTAAAATTGAAAGAAAAAACAAATTAAAAAAATACGAATGGAAATCATTTGAAATTAAATTGAAAAATAAAACGGAAATGATAAGTATTTGAGAGAGATTTTAGTTACCGTATGCTTTCGGTTCGTGAACGTGGTGACGAGTAATCCTTGGACATGCCATTTCGATGTTTTCGGTAATCCATTTGCGTATCGTTGCCAATGTTTCGCTTCTCACGCCATATCGATAAACGATGGTAAAGCGCCTGTTTCACCTCTGAATTCATGAAACAGTACAGCAATGATACGGAAAATCCCTGTTTTAGAGAGAGAAATTTTGGATTTTCAGAGTAGTTTTAACTTTATAGTTTTCAAAGCGAACCCGCGTGGAAAACAAATGACTGATTGTAACTGAAATCTCTTAATAAGCCAATTTAGTTAACTGAGCAGATGATTTGTATGAAAAATAGTCAAGTATAATGAAATCAAGTCGGATGGAATTTTAGCAAGTCGCTTTATTCGAAACACTTTTGACTGCACTCAACTTGTGATTGCAGTTAATTACGATCGTTATTTTTGTATTGGATAATCACGTTCGACTATGTTCCATGACTGGCTAGGTCGATTATGTCCCAAAATAATCGATTACTCAGTCAGAATATTCTCACACGGAAAGATACTATAGTTTGAAAGAAACCCTAACTCTCTTATAGAGAAATATTCTTCTTCAACCCATTTTCTACCAAGTGTTCGAAAAAATTTGGACATTTATATGCAAAATTAGGCGCTCAGTATGAAATCATGGAGTGAATTGCTACTAAAAGCTTATTTTCAATACTTTTCAGTATTAAGAAGATATTTTTTAGTAAATTTGCTATTGTTTTCAGTACTTTCAGACAATTCAATTGTGATTTCTGTTGAAAAATGAAAACATACATCAGATTACAGCAATGTATGATCTTTGTAAAGAAATTGAGCTAAGTTCCTTTCGCTCCTCGTAGAAAATGAGTCTATAGATACTATGTCTCTATGAATTGACATTGAAACAAAAATCTCCGTTCGAATTCCGACGCAATTACCAAATGTATATTTCATATTTTTTTGACTAAACTCATTGAAAATCCTACCTGTGTCGAGATGAGAATGGACTGTAAAATGATAAACATATGCTGATAGACTCCGCTCTCCGGTCCGAACAATAAAATCTTGAAATATTCAAAAATTAAATTTATTTAAAACGAAATCACCCAAAACTATTTAAATAAATCCTTTTTCTTGGCCTTACCAAATACGTAATACCCAGCAATGGTATGAGTACGAGCAATGCTTTCGATGCTTTTTTATACTGTCGCGTTTCGGCTGTGTTCGCTGATCGCAATTTAATAACGAGCACCTTAACAATACACTTTTAGATATAACTATTATAGTTTTATAAGATATAAAAATAAATTATGCCATTTACCCACATAATCCGAATGAGAAAGAATAGATTGACCAGTAAACAGGCCATTTTCGAACCATGAAATATCCAATCGACATGCGATTCATGCATCCATGTGCATTTCATTTGGACCTGTGTGTGCGAGTGAGTGAATGGTGATTGGTCGAGTTTTAATTAGATGCAAAATCGCTTACATAAATCTCACATCATAACAGCACAATAGCGAAAACAATTTCCATTTTAATGGGATAAAATTGAACACACACTTACCGGTTGTCGATTCGGTCCGTCCGATTCATTGATCGGTGCAAATGATTTGACAGCTGTCCAAATAGCAATTATAATGGCCGGGCAACCTAACAAACAAACTCATTTTGTAATTTTTTTTTAGAGAAAAAACAACACTCCATGCATGTAACCTAGATAAAATGCAAATGATTTTCCTCTTGTTTTCATCTGAATGTGCTTCGCTCCATATATATTCATTTTCACATGGAGAATTTCACTCCACATTTATTTGGCGATGGAACACAAGTTTGTTCTTCGGTATAAGTAGCAAACTTTTGGAATTGTTTGCTTGAAGTAGAAAACTTTCGGAAATTCGTTCATCTCGAATTGAATTGAGTTGCCGGTTGTTTAGAGAGATTGTACAATGTTCCTTCCGTATGGAACAAAAGGAGTAAACCATTTAGAGTGGAGCTTCATTTGTCTCGATTCCCAACACATTCTCAATATGCTCAAGTCTTTCCACCAGATTTCAGAGAGAAGCAGCGGTGAAACAATGGTTTACCGTTCGACAACTTGTTATTAAACAACTTGTTAACAATTCGGTTAAAATGCGAAACATGGAAGAAAACCGAAATTGGAGAGAAAAAAATGAACAAAAAAAAGAACTGGGCCGATCAAAGGCAAATTAGAAAATAAGCTTAGATTAAATTTATCATCTCTGTTCTGGCATTTGAGAAAATGAATTTATCCCCAAGAACATAAATTGACTGTATGTAAATTTCCGCTTGACGAACCACTCGCATGTGGGTGAGTGCAGCAAGCCTCCGAGCAACTTTCTCATATTAATACTGTTTGCATTGCCATAGAGAGAGCTCCAACGACGTACATAGTACACACAGCACTCATGGTGCTACTAGTTGTGTTGACTCAAACTGCAAGCCCTTAAATTTCTATGCTATTTTGATGTTTGATTTCGGGTAATAAAGTGTAGTGAGTTGATAATCATCTTTTGGTTGTAGGCTTGAGCTGAAGTGTTTAATATTTTTGAAATTGCCCCGGAGGATTTTTAACCCATTTTCTACTGACGATGCATTTTCTATCACAATTTCTACTAAAAATTTATTCCAAACAGTTCAATTATGTCCCAATTGAAATGGTTCAATTGGACAAATTACGGAAAATAGAACAAAAATTCAATGTTCTGCAAAGAATTGAATGTTTTCTAAAAAAAAACTGTGCGTTTTGTCAAAAAATACGTTGAAAATTAATTCAAGCATTCAAATTGTCAAGTTGCAAATTCAAGCGGTGATTTTTCATGAAAAGTGGTCCAAATTGAACCCATAGCCGGAACTAGAATTTTCTGTTTATGTTTTTCCAAAACAAAGCATTAAATCTAATGTCATCAAGTTAAAGTTTGTGTTGGTTGAGAACAAAAGAATAGAGCAAAGAAATAGCGACGTCAACGGCTAATTAAGTTTTAAATTCAGTGGCAATGCACTCATCGCCATTGTGTTGCATATGACATATAAATGGAATGTGTACATATTGTTAGTGTGTTGCCATTGTTTTTTTCTCTCCTCGCTTTCCCTTTCCCTGTGGCGGTGTTGATGGTGCGCCCGATCTAGATTGCCGGTAAGTGGGTGTGCGATTGGCTCAAAGTACTGTTTCAACCCGCAGCTATCTGTCTGCGTTCGTATGGCAACAAAACAGAGGCACACACCGTGAAAGGTGCACACTCAAAACGCTTGGCCACACTATATTTAATAAAATATGAGTCTACCAACGGAGTAGAGCATAAATGTGAACCATACCATATCTCGCAATTTCCATGAAGATACGAGCACAATAGCCCGTATAATTTTATTCATTTTGGCCTTTGCTGTTTTGCGAATAATATTTTATTTATTCATAACCTGTCCATTTCTATTTTCAATTGGTCGTGTCATAGAATTTCTTGTGTGTCCCACACATGTGTCGCATGCGTTTAAACGATTGTAAAGTGGACAGTTGTGAAACGAACATCCTTTGTTTTCGTCACATCGGACGAGAGGGATCGCTCAACTCAAGTGTTCCAGGTGAAAAATGTATGCTGTCATGCATCACATATCACAATCAATTCAAGATTATTCCAAAGATTCATCCGTATTTCTCATCGAATACAAAAAATTGATGTGGGTGCCGATACACGCATTCGAAATCAATCTAATGAATATTTTACGAAAACGAAAAATCAACGCTGATCAAAATATGGGGAAAATCAAAACGATGAAAGATGGAATGACTTTCAATACATCAACAATAATGATAAATCAAAGTAAACAGTTGGAATAGAACAGTAAAAAGGAATGATTTGAATGTTTAACTGAAAATTGAAATAGACGTCATCATACCCCATCCGATGAACGCGTACATTTTGAATTTCAAATTATCGCCCGAGAATGTTTCCACTACAAGCATATATAGGTAGAGACCTGAAATGGAACCAGAAAGATAGAAAATAAATGTGTCAATGAGCTGACATTGAATTATTGCTAGAGATATGATTTAAGGATTGGTCACCGTGTAAATTGTAAATTCGAATGAATTTGGATGCTCTTCAATGGGCTGAGACGAAGTGAGAATGATGTTAACTTGATATTGTCAAGAGCTAGGAAGAGTGTACGAGAAAGAGCCTCTCTTTCAAAGAGCTTTCTCTTTGAGAAATAGTGAACCAAACACGCCCTGAATGATACAGAGAGCGGAAGAGAAAACGACACTGAGGTGAAAACAAAATTCGATAATTCACAATATCCGTATCAGTTGGCTAAAGTCATTCAAATCGGTGAAAAGAAATGCCTTCCGCCATTTAAATATACCATTTTTACGCAAAAGTTTTTCTACACTTCAGGCTAAAAGGTGTCTCTTCGTTTCCATGTTTTTTTTTCATTGAACTTTGCAAACTGCGTTGGTTTTTTGCTACAAAAATGATAATCAATGGAAGAGTTTTGTTTTTAGGGGGACATTCAAACGAATATATTGCAAATATTTGAGTGAATGTGCGACTGTGCGAATTCACTCAAGCGAGAGTTCGTGAGTCAGCGAACAATGTGTATGATATTTGAATCCAAAGTGATAAAATTGGAATCCAAAGTGTACACTGCTAGTTTTCGTCATTCTCGCACTAAACGCAGTCTCTTGCGTTCAAGTGCTTACTGCCATTGGTGTGAACAAATACGTTTTATGTCAGTGCCATTGTCTCACCTCCTTCTTTTCATTCCTGATTTAAAGTTGTGAAAATGATAAGAAGTTGATTAGCAAAAATACGAAGTTTCATCTTTGTACAGAACCGACCAAATAAGCTCAATACAAAGATGAAACTTCGTATTTTTTTAAAATCATACTTCTCATCATTTTCACAACTTTAAATCAGGAATGAAAAGAAGGAGGTGAGACAATGGCACTGACATAAAACGTATCAATTTGACAATTAAGTTTGACGTTCCATTAAAATTGCACACAATTGAAACGCTAAAAATGTGAAAACGAAGAAAAAGTTAAGCTTAATTGAATAAAAGTTAGGCTAAACCGACAGCTTAGAGTGTAGCTACGTCAAAAATCGTAATGTATTTTACGATATTCGCGATTGGTTCAATCCCCATAGTTATATTTATAGCCAATTATTTCACTTGGATGAGTTTGACATGAGTAAAATTGGATCATGTTTCGTTTGAAAATGTAAAATAAAAACGATTTGATTTGTAACACTCCTTCGGAAGAGGAAGTAATGTTTAATACTTTTCCTCGTTCTTTCTTATTCGTTCTCTGTCAATTTTCTCTTCAACTCTTCGAATTTTTGAACTCTTTCTCTTGCTCTCTCTCTCTCTCTTTCTTCTTCCCCCCCTTCTCTTTCTCAATCACTCTTTCCTCCTCTCTCTACCAATCTCTCTCTCCTTCTTCCTGTCAAACTCTTTCGCTTTCTTTCTCGTTTTTACACTTCAATCCAAATTGAGCTCAGCAGCTCAACACTCGAATGCCAATAAAAGTGGGGAATATATACAAAAGCCTACCTTCAACCAGCATCCAAAAGAAATTCGTCAGAGTAAAATAATGTAATAAAATAACAAGGCATTTGCATCCGGCGCCGGTGGCTTCATTGTGCGTTAGCTGTAAAGGAAAAACGAGGAAACAAATGTAAAAAAAAACCATACGTGTAACAACTGGGTGTATTTTCACATTGTATGTCAAATGTAAATGAGTTGTTGCTTTTTGAAGAGAAACTTCGTATTTTTATGGTAATTTATTGATTTTGCAATTGTTCGCGGTGTGGATTGCTATCACTGAATAAATGCAGTTGTGTGAAAAGCACATACACACACATACACAAGTGAAAAATGGCGAAAAATTGGCAACAAAAAAAAATTTGAGGAAAGAAACCAAGCGAAAAAAATGAATTCAAACCAAAATTGATGTAGAACACTTACCCCCAATAGAAGTGGTATGATCCAAAGCAGAGCCGATAAAATGTATGTTAAAAATAAATTCCCATGTATTGTGTTGCGCAAACAACGCAGATCTCTGTGAAAATCAGGAAGAAATGGAATGAGAGGTAAAGGGCTCTTCCCTGTGTCTAACTGTACACCCCGAAACGGGAAAAGGGAAAGCCCTTTTCATATCTTGGACGAGAAATATTTCGATTCTGAAGCGGAAGCGTTTCGATAAAGGAACATTGGGAAGAAGGAACGTTGCGATGAAGGAACATTTCATTTGAAAACAAGAGACTTGGTTAGGAAAGTATTCATTGGATACTATCCAGGTATCGAAAGTGACTCTTTTCAAATCCAAAACCGAATATTTCCATTTCAAAACGAAAACATTTCTCGAAATCGTTTCGGGAAGAAGACAGGGGCATACATATGCGATAATTCTGTCTAAATACTCACTTGAAATGTATAAAAACCGCTAAACCTAAACTTAACGCTACTAAACTGAGTGTGTAACCAATGCTGTAGATGTGTGTAGCCAGTTCAAGTTGTGGGAAAATGTCGATTTCATTGGGTAAATCTTTCACCACGTGCTTACACTGATCGTAATTGGCATATTTGTCCCATGTTCCGTTCGCATGACAGAATCGGCTGGCATTTTCTATATGAGCAGAGAGAAAAAAACACACGACGAAGCAAAAAAAAGAAAGAAAAATAAATCACATACGCACAATAGGAATGACATCTATATCTACCGACGAGGAGCGATGCTACGAAATGAAAGCAGGCCAATTTCAAAGTAAACCGAGAGAACAACGATATCATCATCATCAGCAGCAGCCATATTTTCTGAAGATTATTTCGTTTTTCCATAAATCATTCAGACGTGTACGACAAATTCCGTTGAAAAACAAACGAAAAAAAGAACCGCTGCGAATGAAGGAGCGAGTGGAAAGACAATAACATCATTTTATTGTTATCCGGTGCCAGTGGTTTTTTTTTCGCTCTCGTATTTTTCTGTTGTACAAGATTTGAAGAACGAACAGTTTTGGTGTATATACACTCATTATCTCATTTGAGTCGGCTTTCAGCAGTGATAAGATAACGAGGAACCACACAAAGTATCACCTGTGCTCGTAGTCAGCCACCGATTTCTTTTCGTACAAAGTGTGTCGCACACGTTTAATTCACTTAAGATAAGGCTATATTCAAATGAAATGCAGCACATATTCTGTTTAGACATCGTTGTTTGAGTCTCTCTCTCTCGGTTTGACTTGGATTCAATGATGCCCAGTTTCCATTTCATCGCCGTCGCAGTCGTTGCTGTCGGTTGAATGAACTTTTCCAACCACATTGTTTGCGGATAAATCATATACTTACGTGAACCGTCATAGTTAATACCCAGAAATTCGGTGAAACATGGCACGATGGCTGATGTATTTACCGCTGTCGCTGGCCAGCATGACACCGAATCGAATACAACCGGGCAACCAAAGAATTTTGCCTGCAAATGAAAAGCCAATGATTATTTTTGAACATTGAACAGAACAGTCGTTGTCGGTGTCGTCGACAAACAGACATCATCGCAACAGGAATTGTGAAATAGAAAATGTTCGGTGAATTTTCATAGAGCCGTATTCATTCTGTTTTTTAATCTCTCTCACTCTCTCCATTTTTCATTCGTTCACGCGATCTCACTCTCTCTCTCAATCTCTCTTTTTCACTCTCTCCATCTCGCAGTCCCGTTCTTTTTCTTTCTCTATCTCTATCTCTATCTCGTCCATTTGTACGCTCTGTGACTATTTGCGCGTTGCGCTTGACACGAATTGGCTTTTGAATTCAATAATTGAATGTAAATTCGGACAATTCTCATGAATAAATTTCGAGAAAAAAAAAATGTTGATCTTCAACTGAAGCGACGCATTATTTTGGCGTTTTGACGTCGTGATGACCTCCACACAAATTTCTATGTCACAAAACGGTGAAACTCCTGTGGACTCTGTGCCAACATTGTTCGACAGCATTTTTTCAATTTCATTCGCCGAGTTTTTTTTCATCAACTGGTTTAAAACAGAAAAAAAAAATCCATTTTGGTTCGACTCTTCCTTGAGCATTCTAATCCATTCGACCAATTTCCGAACCGATTCAGTCAAACTCAAACTTGGAACAATCTGTTTGGACTACGTTTAAAAATACATTTTTTTTCAATTAACATAAAACGCCACACAATTTTCGATCAGTTTAGGCGTCGATAAAATTAATCAATTCGCATGTTTTTTTTATGGCTTCGATTAGCGACTCAATGTTTTAATTAGTTTTCGATAAATGTTTGCGGTGGTCGCTCTATCAAATATCTACTACATCATTTATGAATCAATCAATGTGTTTAATTAAGCATTTTTTCCGCTTTTTTTCCGCTTTTTTTCAATCAACGATAAATATGAGCATATTTATAATTCAATGTTTAAATTAAGCAGGAATAAAACAACAACAGTTGTTTTTCTTCTATTGAAGCGATGACAGCACAAATGATATATGCCTATGTCTAATCGGTTAATTTGGCGGAATATTGACGCGAGCGCAAACACACAAAATGATAATTGATTTTGCCGACGTGTGATTATTTATTCACAATACCAGTTTGTTTGAGATTTTATGAGTTCATGTAAACAGAGTAACAATGCGCAGAAAAGCAAAGGAAAAGATTTATTAAATGAATAGAAAAATGGGGAAAAAAAGCATTACAACGAGATATGCAAATGAAATTCATTGAGAGAAGAGGTGAGGAGAGAGAAAAAGAGAGCAGAGAGAGCAGAGGAAGCAGAGAGAGAGAAAAAAGGAAGAAGAAAATCGTATCGATGTTATTCCTTACAAACGGCATGTGCTGACAGCATTTAGACATTGGTTTGAAAAATGCAGCCAAATCGCCGCGCTTTTTTTTAATTAAAGAAAAATCAGTTCAATCAGTAGCAAGCTGTTACCGTTGCCAAACGCACTTTTTGCTCGCGTTTTCACACTTTCGTTGTTTCAACTCCCGATCTTTCTACTCCCGTTTCCAGTCCCTTCTTCGAAAGGGACACACACATCATTTTTCAAAAGCGAATAAGAGCAAAAGATTGGATTTTTATACCAAAGATATGGACAAAGTTCCACTTTAATCGCGCGAATGACGAGGAAAATGAGTAAAGGTCCAGAGTAGGATAGAATGGAAAGTGGGAGAAAAATAGAGACAATGGACCAGAAAAAAGAGGTTGAAATATTGAGATTGCAAATGGAAGAAAATGACAAAAGATAAGAATTAGAGAGTGGGGAAAAAGATAGAGAGAGCGACAAAGAGGCTGAGAGAAGAGAGAAGAGAGACAAGAGATTAGAAAGAAGAGAAGAGAAGAAAGAGAAAGATAGAAAAAACAATTCCTGAAAAACGCATTTGTTGGCATGTTAAAAACTCTATTTTCATGGAATTCGTTTTGTTTGCATGTATTATTGAATGTGTAATAATTTACACGAGCTGTCTCTGTGAGCTTCGCAATGGCGAAGCGAGAGCAAGTGAAAAAAAATCATCGTTTTGGGTAAACACAAATCAAATGCGTAGCAAAACCGGCGAAAAATTCAACAAACGACCAAAACGAACGAACGAGTGAGCGATAGTGAACGGAAAAAAAGTATCGGAAGTTCAATTTTTCCAAATCGAAGCGCGGCAACACACACACACAGAGAGAGAATGCGATTCCAATTTCAAAGCCTGCCGCACAAAATATCAGCGGAAAAAACAGAAAATTGGAAAGAAAAGAGAATTGCACGCGAACTTGTTTTTCATCGGCTTATTTTGATAAACAATCGCCGAAGAGAGAGAGAGAGAGGGAGAGCGCGCGCGAGATTTTGTATGGGTGTGTATGTGTGTGTTTTCAAACACAAAACAAGCGGCAGCAGCGGCATTTTTGTTTATTCATTGTGCATATTGTGTATCAAATGTATATAGATCAGGGTTGCATTTGACTAGAAATCTCTTGCCTCTCAGCTGGACGGTTCGCATGCTGTATGACCCCAATGCGAGCATGTTCCGTGAAACGCACCAAATCGATTGATAAATGTCGATGGTCATCATATATTCTGACCGACGAAAAAAAAAAAACCATCATTGGTCAGGCCCAAATTTTTTCGATATAATAAAAATTCCATCATCATCATCAATTCGATTTGAGTTCATTTTTCAAAAACTGTCATAAATTCCCATCACAAAAAATAGACAAACGAATTTCAATGAATCCCCATCAAAAATAGAAAAAAAATTATAAAACTTCACATCAAAATGGAAATTCCTTCGATGAACAGAAAAAAAAATACCGGCGAAGAACGAGAATGAATGTTTTGGCTAAACAAAATGAAAAGAAGGCAGTCATCGGGGCGCGGCAATATTTGATTGGGTTTGCAATTGGAAAGCTTCTCAAGGTAAATTGAAAATAAATGAGCCCATACATTGCTCATTTTCATTTTGTTCCGTTTTGTTCTCTTTTTTTTTGTTGTTACTCGAAATGGAACGATTGGAGAAGCGAAAAATGTGCCGTATTCGTTTTCGAATAAAAATGAAACGTACCCGAAGTAAATAATAAATAATTATTCTGAATGTTGATGTAAATGCAAAGAGAATGAGAGGAAAACTCTTCGCAACAATAAATGAATAATTGGATTTCACAGAAGAGCAAACGGCATTGCGAGAGAGAAAAGTGAGCGAGAGGTGGGGATTGAAAAAGAGTGCGAGAGCGAGAGATTCGAGAGTGAGGGCGAGAGATGGAGGCAGATAGCGAGTATGAGACATCGAAAAAAAAAAATATTTATCGCATACCGAGCATGAGCAACGAAATAACGAAAAAAACAACATTTATAAATGTTGAATAAATATAAGAAAATCCACTACATCCCGCCACTTTATTTACAGAGCGTGGTTTTCTCTCTCTCTCTCCCCTCATATCTGCTGTGTAACGCGAATCGATGTGTTTTTTCCACATTCATTCGTTTTTTTCCCCTATATTTTCATTTGGCGGTTTTTACTCGTGAGCATTTTCTCTGCTGATTTGTTTATCATTAAAAAAAACCTCGGCTCTCTCTCTCGTGGAAATGCAAAGCATCTGATGAAAGAGATGCATCATGTTCATTATCTTATCTGGAATATGTTACAAATGATGTATGTATCTGGGCACACGAGAACGAAGTAAAAAAGAAATGAAAAAAAGTAAAAAAAAAATATATGAACATTCGAAATGTTTTAATCAAAGACCGTAAAAAGAACTTTGCAGTGACGACGAAAACGCAAACGCGCAATAAGAGGACACTTTTGCTAATTTATTGTTTGATGTGATTCAGATTGTTATTGCCAACAATGGTTCACTCGGTTTGTCCGCCCCGAACCGAAAAAAAAAATCGTTCGGTTTCTTGTTAATTAATGTGTTTGCGTTGCCATTGCAGCAGCGCAATTCTATTTTTCTCTCATTCAACTAACTCTCCTCGGGAGTGGATTCTTTTTTTCTTCATTTTTTTTTATTTTTTTGTTTATTGCTCCAGTTCGTCAAATTCAATCATGACTGGGTTACAAAGAGAGAGATGACAAGAAATAAGCAGAAAAAAATGATGTGTATGTTGTCTTTCCATTTGCAAACTTGTATTTAATATGTACTTAAAAAGTTGGCGCTATGACAACCCAGCCAATGCTACCATTTTTGCGTTACAATCCACTGATGTATGCTAATAACGAATTTGAATCAAGCAACACAACAAACCAATTGAGCGGTTCACATCACAACGGCTTTTTGTTGTTTAAGAACATCTTTTTTTACTGACAATAAATAAAAATAAATTTCAATTCAACGAAAAATGAAATGAAATGAAATATCCCGTGAATGTTCGTCGCTAATAACGCACGCAAATAAATAGAAAATAAGTCAGAAAATATAAAAATAATCGGTGACTATTGACAGCCGCAATAAAATGCTCTTGCAAAGAAGAAGAAGAATATTGAAATGAGCCAAAATTGGAATCACCTTTGAAATTGCGCGTATACATCAAAAGTGAGAGATCACTCTTCTTTCTCGCACTCTTCAATGACATAAACACAGCCTATTTTTGGGCCAACCGTCTATGTTTACATTCAGTTTTTTTTCTTTCCTTTTCCTCAAGTGAAATACACAAAATGAATAGAGAATGTCTGCATTTTGCTGATTCTTTTTCCTCTTTCGGGTATTAATTTTTGCTCTCTCTCTCTCTTTTATTCACTCGTTTGATGTACGCCACTCCATTTAAGTGCGCGCACTCTTGGGCAATTTCATTTCTTTCGTACTCGCTCTCATAATTTTTTTTTTCTCCATTTATCTTGTTTGTAATCATATTTGTAATTGCGATTTGATTCGTGTAAAATTACCGCTCTTATCATATCCCCATACAACTTGAGAGCCAAACACCGAGCCGAGTGTTTGTTTGTATTTTTAGCTTATCGAATGTAGGATAACTGGCTTGTTGGTGCCTCTTCTTTTTAGCACTACATGGAATGTAGGCTACTGTAGTGATTTTTTTTTGACGAGAAATTTTTAAGACTCTTTAGGCCATTTTTTTTGGACCGTAAACTAATTCATTTTAATATCCATATTTTTTATTTCAAATGAAGCAATTACGCCTAATTGCAAAAATGAAATAATATCATGTAAACGTAATTCAATTATGAGATAACTCGAAGAAAAAAAAATTGACACTTTTTTCGTTGCCAATGTGAAATAATGTATGATGACCGTTCACATTGAACATACATTAATACAATAATTGAAGAATACAATTTTTTCATATAATTTTTTTTTTAAATTATTGATAACAATATTATAATGATTTATAACAAAAACTTGTGAAACGGACATTTCCAACATCAAATTAATCAAACCCCTTGAATTTACAAGTTTCAAGAATGCAGAGCGGAGCGGAGCGACGATCTGCGGTCTTGTTTTTTGCTCTACTCTCCATGCGGTAGTGAATTCTTTTTTTTTTATTGAGAATTCCATTATTGAGAGGCAGAGCTGTTATAGGAGAGAGATTCAATGAGAGATACAAAGCGAGAGAGACAGAGTTAGAGAGCTAGAGAGAGATCTAGGAAGATAGGGAGAAATAGAGAGAGAGAGAGACACGCATACAAGAAGGGAATAGAGGGAATGAAAAAAGGTGATATAATCGGAAGTGAGGCATACCTGCGATGGATTCAATTGACCTTTCATCAAACAAGTGGTTTCCATTTCGGTGGTGGTGTTGACCGTGCTCAAAATATCCGCCAGCGTTGACACACTTGCATCGTCAAATGCACGGGGGGTCGCTTCCATCGTACTCTCCATTGTGTCGCAATAATACTTTTCTTTTCAGTGACGAAACTTTTCGTTTCGATATCACACTCTCACCATACACACGGTTTAATACTTTCGGAGATTTTTGTCTCCAGTTTGTTCTCGTTTTATTCTTTGAAACGCGTTGAATGACTTTTCAAGGAAACTTTTTGTGGACTTTCCATGAATTTTATTGTTGAATCTGTTCTCCTCAATGTTTTCTTCCTTGTTCTCCTTTTTTCAGTTCACCAAGGATTTTTTTCTATTGAGATTTTTTTCTTCAATCAACACTGACTTCCGGTTTTTCTTCTATTAAACTGACTTTTAAGCTGCGAATAATTCACTTTTAGCTGCGATTCGTTGAAATTTTGATTTTTCGACCACAAAATGATAATTATTCAATGAATTCTTATGAGCATTCAAGTTTTTTTTACTGTCAATTTTGTCAGATTTTTATTGTTTATTGTTGATGGATTCTTTCTACTTCAAGTTTGTTAAATTTTCGAATATGTTCAAATTTTTGCCGCGAATTTTTCTTAGAATTTTTCACTGTAAATTTATTAAAACTTCGCCTTTTCTTTAACGCGACTTTTTATCTTTTGAAATCGAGATTTTTTTTACTGCGTTTATTTCACGAAGTTTTTCTACCGCGAATTGGTTCAAAAATCGATTTTTTCTAACTACGATTCCAATTAAAAGTACGACATTTGAAAACGGCTACCGTTTTGTTTGTTTCATTGAATTAAAAATACTGGCGCAATTGGTTCCGATTGATTTAGCCACTTCAATTGAAAACAAATCACTATCATCAATAGCAAGCGTTCGACTGATTCGATGAGCACTCTCGATTTGATTCAAATTATCTAACACACAGTGGTGGCTGCTGTTATTTATAATGCATGATCTTGATCTCTATCTGTCAAAACAAAGCTCACTTTTTCACTTCAATGTGCATACGTTGCAAAGTGGTGTTGTTCGTTTTCGCTGCAAATGATTCTCATTTTGCGAGCTCGTGTTTTCGTAATGCTTCTTTGTCCGGTCTAGAAAAAGGAAATGGAATTGAATCTGTAATGAAATGGATTGTTTCACGTTTTAAAGAAAATTACGGTTTTTCCAAGGGAAACTACAGCTTTTACTAAAACCAACTACTACCATAGTAGTAGTTTGTTAAAACGGAAGGTGAATACTTTTTCATGAATAAAACGTTTTTTCACGTTTAAAGAAGAAAAAAAAACCTGAATATTTTGTCAAAACTAACTTTTTCGTTTAAAAACTTTCAACACATGTTCTTTCATGCACAAAAACGGTATTCGTTCTTTCTTCGACGAAGAAAAATCCTTGCTCAAAATGCAACCATCGGCCACTGAATGTTTCGTTTGAAAAATAACTTCATTTGGATTAATCGAATGGTCGGGATAAATGGTGATGGGATCGATAAATCAAATGTCCTTGCATCATCGCTGCAATGCACTTTACATGAAATCCAAATAATTATTCACTGTCACTGCTCTGGTGTGTTGCACATCCTGTGTCAATGTTGTGCGTTGAACAAAAACGGGATAAGCGAAATATACGAAAACCGTTACCAATTGTAGCCGAATGATTTATAGCAAAGTTTAAAATGGAATTGAATTGTGTACGCTCGCGAACAAGAACAAGTAACTTGTGTCGCTTGATCGCGACACACACGATGCGTATAGCGAAAGAAAACCGAACAAGAAGAAGAAGAAGAAGAAGAAAAAGTCGCTTGGAAGCTGGTCGTTGAAGCGGCGGCAGAGTGAGCGAGTGAGTATTGTGAAGAGAAAAAAAAGCGAAACGGTAGCTTCAAATCAGCACCAAAACAACAAAACGAGATATATTGTGTTGAATGGGTGTTTATTGACTCTGATATACATGTATACTATATTGTACTCGAGACAGTGTGCTACGGCCACCGAACGCGTGCTTTTTTTTCTTCCTCTTTTTATACGGTTTCAAAGGAGTGATTGTGTTTTGCCTTTGAAATGACGGTGTATTTTTGCGATAGAAATAAATGTAGCCAATGTTTCGATTACGACAACGACGACTACACAGAGAGTGAGTGAGTGTCGGTTGTGTGTCTTACACTCTCTCGGTTCGGCGCGTTATGCCGAGCGAAAAGACAGTTAGAGACGAACTAGTATCAGCGGTATCGATATCAGTATCAGCGAGATGCTGACAGAGAATTGAAGGATTTTTCGCTTCGCTTCGTTTCGTGTATCTGTTTATGAGTTTGTGGTATACGCGGCTCGTGTTATTCATATTCGTATTTGTTACGCGGTCGCTAGCAGCTCATTCGTTCGTTCGTTCGTTTCGTTTCGCTACCGTGCCTCGATAGCCTACCCGTTGTTGTTTCTAATAAAATATGCTGCTTACAACTAAATTAAATGCTCTTTGATCCTATTGGATCAGATAAAAAACAATTAAATACAGCAAACAAAAGCGGCGAACATAAGGAGCGCGGACGCGCGCTCTTCTCAAAATGCTACTCTATCGCCGTTGTGTTTGAACGGCCGATGCGCACACAGCCCAAAACGTAACATTCCAACAACAATAACAACGACAAAAAAAAACACATCTTGACAAAAATGCGGCACCCAATTGATAACATATACACCTATTTCTTTGCTCGCACTCCCGTGAAACGTATAATTATGCATACAAGCATATTTGATGCTGGGTCTCTCTCTCTCACTCTCTCCTCCACACACACTCTCTTCCTTTCTTTCGCTATTTAGAGAGATGTCGAACGCTGGCGATACATAACGTACCACGACGTACGCATATTATGATGAATGTCAGGCATGAAATATTCACATTGACACACAGCCACACTCTTTGTGTACGTATGTACAGTACATCGTACATGCCTTACATGCGATGTGACACACAAGATGCGCACACTGATGCTCCTTCTCTCGCACTCTGATGAAATCAAATCAAACAACCGTTTGCCGTTATCAAATCAAAATGAGCAATACAACTCCCTATCAATGGAGCTTGAAACAATCTCTTTAATGTTCAGTCGCAGCTCCATCGCTGCGCCTAGCCTTTATTCTCTTTCGTTTTTGCTCTTTTTTCTAAACAGATTTTTTTTTGTCCTTTCTCTCATTTGCCGAGGTTCCCGTGAGTGTGACAACATTTGTGCTGATGCATGGGTTTGAGGTTTCCGTGGTTGCGTCAAAATTCAATTTTCACCGAAAAATTTCGTATCGTTGATGACGCTCCCTCTCTCTTTCACTCCGTCTATCATCCGAAAGTGGATTTTTTCGTGTTTGAGTTGCAGCCAATCAAGTAGATACGCTTTCACACCGCCGAATCTTTCATTCGATTCAACACCAAAATGCAAACATGGATTTATTTCGAAATATTTACAATGATTTTTTGCTTACTCTCACGCTTCCGACACTTTGTATTTGCCTTTTTGGATAAGAGATAAGAGAACAAAAAATACAGCATTTTTCACATTCTATCAGAATTGCCACACAACACAGGTCACAGAACAACTGGCGCCATTTCAAACTTGAGTGTTGAGACTTAACAAACAATTCGAACTCACGAGGAGAGATGAACCGTGGAGCGGAAGAACATAAATGTAACAAACACAAAATCCACTTAATCCAAATCCGAGAGAGCGGAAGAGGGTAAGCAAATTGAGAGGGATCAAACACACCACCACGGAGCCACATCACAATTGAAAATTTGTGTCAATCCGATGACACGAAACGAAAATTTATGATCAGCTCAATGATTAAACTAAACGGAAAGAATGCAAAGAGATGAAAGTGAGAGTACAAGAGTGAAAGAGTGAAAAAGAAGCAGAGTGGCAGAGAGGCAAAGAGTTGGAATGCGAAACATATATAGACGTATCACCTGAACCGTATTGTATCATTGAAATTCGATTCAGAATTGGCACATTGCCAAAAGTAATACTAGAGACCAATACACCATTTGACGAGAGAATGGACCAGAGAGAGAGAGAGAGAGAGAGAGAGAGAGAGAGAGAGAGAGGGAGGGAGTGTTTGTGTGTGAGAGAAAGAGAAGGGAGCGATAATGAAAGAGGTAGAGTGCGAGAAAGTAGTATTCACATTTCACTCATTTCGACATTCGCAATCAAGGGGCTTGAAATTGCAATCAATTTTAACAACAATTCGATTACGTTTATTTCATGTGATCGCGCTTTGGTTCGAGCGATGTTTCATTTCTATAGTGGTGGTTGAATAATTGGTTTTCAGTTCAAACAAATGAGACGTATGTAGTGCAGCGCACTCGCAAAAAGCTCGCATTTGATGAGCCGCTCTCATTTGATCGCAATTCAGAGTTAAATTGCCATTTGATTGAACTGTCCAGTGATATTTAGTTTTGGTTCAATTACCACTCTCCAGGGAAATTGTCACTAGTTCGAAAGAAAGTGACTTTTTGTTTTTTTTTCGCACAAAATCATCATTTTCGAGCAGAATTTTTTGGGGTATTACGTTCAATGAAAAATTAATTCAAGAAGAAATTTCTCAACTCTTCTTCTCATTTCTTGATTGACCACGAAGAGATTTCTTCCGAAAAGACCATCGTTTATCTGACACTGTTGGACCGACAGCTAAGTGATGCCAGCGAAAAAAACTGCGTTCCAATTTTTGATTAAAAAAAATTCATCATGTTTTTATGTACTATAAAATGCAGAGGTATGCGAAAAAATAGCAGGTAGAAATTTGCAAGCAAATTGTCGCAATATGTAAATTTGCGCATATTATTCACAATGTCATGGCATGCATGCATGAGATCTAGTTATAGATAATGTCAAAAATCAAAAGACATTGGCTCATCAACCAGATTTTTATGCAAATAGTAACCACCGCTCCGGATCAACATCAAACGCAATTGTCAATATTGTGGAGCCGAATCGTAAACCAAATGAATACTGTATGAGGAATATGCGTATGACAACCATGTACTGTTGTATCCATGTACATTCCAATTAACTCCGCAGCGATGCACAAACTGTGCTTGGCTCTTGCCCTTTCCTCGTCAAACATTTGTCAACAATCTCGTATTTATTCTAATTATAATTATGAACTGATTCATTAAAGTTTTGACTCACACACACACACACACGCCACGTACACATGATACTTCTAACTCGCTCACGTTTAATTATACCGCAGATAATGGCATATCGTTTTCAATGGGGATTTATCTTAATTAATTCTGCGAATTGAGCTTACGATGCAACACTATTGACGTACATTTTTTTCGCTAGCATTTGTAAATAATCATTGCTGCGTTGGTTCGGTTGCCCTGGAAATTATCAATTTTTATCCAAAAGACTGGGTGAAACTCGTTTGAATGCATTGCATTCAATGCAATACAACGTCAGCAACGGTGAATGGAATCGTTCCGTGGTTTTGTTCAGAAGTTTATCTAATCCATCGAAAAAGTTGATTTGCACCCTACCTTTTTACCTCATTCGATGATTAGCCTGCATTATTAATTGGAATATATACACATTGCACCACACAAAAAGAGCTGGAATTGATAAATCGGTGGAAATATGTGAAAGCACAAGAGCTAATTAGTTTTGCGAAACATTCATTCATTGAGACATAACGAAAACAAACCCATGCAGGTGGAAATTAACTCCAGAAATTCGAAACATTGATACAGGAAAGCGCGAACGACTGTTTGATTAATCAAAATTTGCAAAATTTACCATCAAATCTTCTCTCAAAAGGACGTTTTGTTAATCAGTTTTTGCAGATTTGACTGCGTTTTTGGATTTTTTTTTTGATCTTTTGAACGAAATCGGACTCTTGATTTCTGCCTTCTTTTTAAAGGAAAATGCCTTTTTCTTAAATTCGCGGAATTTCATGCATAATTTGTTTTCACTTCAAAATAATTTTTTTCTTAATTTCATAAAATTATGCTCGAAATTCCATGAAATTTTCGAATTAAATACGATATTTTTTCGAATACATCGAAATTTTGCTCATTTCTTTATTAATTTAAAATCAGAGCGTGTTATTAGAAATATTTTTGCACACTTAGGCTAAATTTTGGAAAGTTTGCTTCATTTTTCTCATTTTTACTGTACATTCATCAGAATTGAAGTGATTTTATGATATTTTGCGGCAATATTTTTTTTTGATAAAACCTTCCATCCATTTTTTTCAAGCATTAAGTTTTGCATATTTTCATGTATTCCATGGAATGTTGAAAATTTTAGGTGATTTCCTAGGATTTTGATGGGTTTTCAACCAACGATTTCGAAAATTGTTGATGATTTTGGAACATTTTTGTGGCTTTTTGAAAAGCACATTGTTTAAAAAGCACTTTTGTGCATTTTAAAGCACAGCCGAAGAGCTCTCCACCCTTTTTTTCGTTTTAAATGTTCTTCAGACCGACCAATTTCCGTATATTTTTGTGTGCAGTGAATAAAATCTTCTTTTGAATTGAATTATAAATAAAAATGAATATAAAATTCCTTACAAATATCCAAGTTCTGTTCACTTTGATGTCATGATCTCCCCTCAAAGCCAAAACAATTGAATGTAGCAACGAAACAAAAAAGACCGTTTATTTCAATCCAAATGATGATAATTTGTCCTCGAATGCAATCACAATTTGAACTTCAACCAATTAAATATCTCGTAATTTGATTCATCGTGAATCTCGTGTCGCTTGAAATCTGAGAGCACCGCTTAAATTGGTCCAAAACGTGCGAGAGTGCGCGCGCGTGGCGCGTACGATAGAGAGAAGAAGATGTCGGGAAAAAAAGGGCGAACGAATGTGGCATTATCATCAAAGCAAAGAAGGAATCAAGCGTCGTTTACAATATAAGCGCCATAAAGATAATGGATGTGCGCGCGGCTCGGTTCGCCCGAATAAAGATACGGCCAAACATGTAGGAGTATTTGAGAAGAAGAAGAAGAAGAAGAAGAAGAAGAAGAAGAAAAAAGTCGTCGAGAATAAAATATTTGCATGTACATGTGAGTGTTATCTCAAAGCTGGATGCATATGCGCGCATTTAATATATTTCGTGTGGAACGCATGAATAATTCG